GTTTGAGGTGTAAAATAAACTGCAATGGAGTTTGAAAACAAAATATGGGTGTAAGTAAGTAAGTTTCATTTTATTTATATAGCAAATTTCTAGATAAAAAGATCACAAAGTGCTTCACAAAGTATAAAACAAAAACAGACAAAAGTTAACAAAATGCAATTCTAAAAAGATGTGTTTTTAGTTATTTTTTAAAAGTGACCACTGAGTCTGCAGATCTTAAGTTCCGAGGAAGAGAGTTCCACAGTCTGGCAGCCACAGTGGCAAAAGCTCTGTCTTCTTTGGTTTTCAGCCTTGTATGCTGAATAACAAGTAGGCCCTGATCACATGACCTCAGGGACCTCCTACATAGGACTGTAAAACCTCAATGATGTAGGCTGGTGCTTGTCCTTGAAGAGGTTTACAGGTCAGAACCAATATCTTAAAATGGACTCTGAATTCAACAGGGAGCCAGTGCAGCTGTATAAGCAACGGTGTTACATGAGAGTACTTAGATGTTTTTGTCAGAAGCCTTGCTGCAACATTTTGGACAATCTGCAGACGCTCCAGGGAGTTTTTGTTTAGACATGTAAACAGTGAATTACAGTAGTCCAATCGCGATGAAATGAATGCATGAATAACAATCTCCAGTTCAGTATGAGATACTATGGGGCTCAATTTAGAAATGTTTCTTAAATGATAGAAGCAGAACCGAACCAGAGATTTGACGTGAACATCCAGGGTAAGAGCAGAATCAAAGGTTACCCCAAGGTTCCTGATAGACGGTTTCACAAATTTTGAAAGAGGACCAAGACCATTCATTATGTTAGGAACATGTCTGTCTGGAGCACATACAAGGACTTCAGTCCTTTCTTCATTAAGTTGGAGGAAGTTGTCAGCCATCCAACCTTTGATGGATTCTAAGCACACATTTAGAATCTGCAGCTTAGAAACATCTTCAGGTTTAAAACACATGTAGAGCTGGATATCGTCTGCGTAGCAGTGGTAGCAAATGTTCTCAAAGGGGCTCAAAATATGCTGGAGAGGAAGTAGATATATTAAAAACAATAAGGGCCCCAGCACAGAACCTTGTGGCACACCATAGGACAGGGACGTGGAAGATGACCTGTACTTAGAGACCGCCTCAGAAGAGTATCGTTCATAGAGATACGAGGAGAACCACTCTGAGGCAGACCCAGATACACCAACCCAGTATTTCAGCCTTTCAAGCAAAATGTAATGGTCAACGATGTCAAAGGCTGACGTGAGGTCCAACATTAGGAGTACAGAACATTTTCCTGCATCGTTCTGCATCAGAATGTCACTGGAAACTCTAAGAAGGGCTGTTTCAGTAGAATGAGCTCTACGAAAGCCAGACTGAAATTTGTCAAAGATATTATGTTTGTCTAAAACTGCTGTAAGCTGCTTAGCCACAACCTTCTCTAATATCTTAGCAATTAACGGTATTTTTGAGATTGGTCTGTAATTGCTAGTGAGAGATGGGTTCAGCGTAGTTTTTTTTAACAGGGGGTGTATAGCAGCAGTTTTAAAATAAGCAGGGACTTTACCAGACCCCAGTGAGGTGTTAACTATGGTGAGCACACAGGGACCAATAGAATGGGAGACATTTTTGAATAACGATGCAGGTAAAATGTCAAATGGACAGGAGGATGCTTTCGTTGCATTAACTATTTTTACCAGCTCTGGTAGTGAGATGGGTAAAAAGCTTTCTAAAATGACAGGCCGAGCTGGCGTAGGAACTGACAATGCAGATGCTGATGGGGACAATTTTTTCCTTACATTACTAATTTTTTCCAGAAAGAATTTTTTCACAGTCTTCATTAGAGGAAATAGTGGCAGCAGTAATAATATCAGTAATAGTGTCAAATAACACCTTAGGATTACCTTACCTT